CACCTGGGTGGCTCAGTCGTTAAGCGTCTGCCTTCAGCTCAGGTCATGGTCCCAGGGTCCTGGGATCGAGCCCTGCATCGGGCTCCCTGCTCCGCGGGCAGTCTGCTTTTCCCTCTGCCCCTCACCCCACTCGTGCTCTCTCTTTCTCTGTCCCTTTCTCAAATAAATAAATAGTTTAAAAAAAAAGATATATTGTAGGACTACATGCATATAAAGTGTAAAAACAGGCATTAATAATCTATGGTGCTAGATATCAGAATAGCAGTTAAGACTGGGTAATAGGGAAAGCATAGTGATTGGGAAGGATACAAGGGAGGCTTCTGGGATGCTGGCATTGTTCTATTTCTTGTGGTGGGAGGTATTTCCTGGGTACATTTATTTTTTGATGGTTTCACCAAGCTATATTTATAATTTCTGCATTTTGTATTATTATACAAATATTTTGATTGAAAAATAGGTATATATATATATATGTACATAATAACTGCACTGTCCATAATGCTACTGGATTCATAACTGCACTGTCCATAATGCTACTGGATTCATCAGTTATGACATTAATTGGGACACATCCATTAAAAAAAAATACAGGAATACCTTAGTGATCCTGCAATTTCAGTTCCAGACCACTGCAATACAGTGAGTACCACAATAAATCAAGTCTAATGAATGTTTCCCAGTACATATAAAAGTCATGTTTCCACTATACTCGAGCCTAAGCGTGCAATAACATTCACTATGTCTAAAACAGCGACGTACATATCTTAATTTAAAAATATTGCTAAAAATTGGGGCGCCTGGGTGGCTCAGTTGTTAAGCATCTGCCTTCAGCTCAGGTCATGGTCCCAGGGTCCTGGGATCAAGCCCCGCATCGGGCTCCCTGCTCAAGTGGAGAGCCTGCTTCTCCCTCTCCCACTTCCCCTCCTTGTGTTCCTCCTCTTGCTGTATCACTGTCAATAAAATCTTTAAAAAATAATAAAAAATAAAAATAAAAATGCTAGCCATCATTTGAGCTTTCAACCAGTCATACTCTTGCTGGGGGAGGGTCTTGCCTTGGTGTTAATGGCTGATAACTGATCAGGGTGGTGTTTGCTGGAGGTGGGGTGGCTGTGGCCAACAGCAGGACAACAATGAAGTCAGCCACGCTCACCCTTC